AACAACTGCGCTCCTGAAAATGTGTTGAACAACAACATCGTATCTACGAGTCATTCGGTGTAAACCTGGATGGTAAGCCCAGGAAGACGACCCACAAGTGTGGGCCGAGGCAACAAGAATAAACGGCGCAAATACATAACAATAGAACCGTCAAGAGCGACATGAACGAACCCTGGCGCGGAAGGAGCGATAGGCATGGAGGCGATCAGCAATACATCAAGCCCGGCATATCTGGACAGGAATCGGCAGTCGAGATGCAAGACGGTCGCTACACGACTTTGCATTGCAATCAGAGTTGAAAAGCGTAGTATAGGAACAATCCCGTGATTCTGAATCGGAGGCGGAACTTTTTTCTTCTCGACTTTTTCCCACGTGGTCTTCGACGACTCTACACGCTGACTTGACTCTGGCTCACCATGATGGGACACCACGACGTGAGCGGGATCCTGCCAAAGCGATCGTATTCCGATACGACCCAAGTAACGCAGCCAAACAGGGAGAAAAATCAAGCAACCGAGCGGCAGCAGCGCGCGTTCGCAATCAAGAGGGGTGGCGTCATAGGGCCGCGAGGAAAAAATGCCGATTTGGTTGGCGCCGCAACAGCTCTTGTCAGAAACGACAGCAAAGGATTGAGTGCAGCCGTGATATGCACACATGCACACACGCATTGGACAATGGAGCTCCAGAATTGTGACAAAGTTATTTGGGTTAATGCCCAAACATGTAATAGTGGGCTTTTACATCGCGTTGACCCCACGCCTATCTGAGTTGTTTCAAGACGTGCGCTGCACGTTGTCAGATGGACGAAAAAAGAAACTCTGTCTATGGAAGTCATCCTAGAACTGACCGGACTGACATACAGCTTTCCATGCCCACACGCCTCAACCGTACCATGACATTTTCCCAGAAGGTTTCCCAGCTGTAGGCCAGGTCCCTTTGGGTCACCACGCCAGGCACAACCCTGCCGCTTTTAATACCCTTCTTGTCTTCCAGGGCAGACACGAGGGCCGGCTTGGTCAAGACACTGTCCAGCACCGCATCTGGCCCGTTCTTACCCCACACCCACACCATGTCTTGCGCTACCTATTTGGAGCACACGTACACCACGACGATGTTGCCAAGCAGTAGCGGCACGTAGGGTGATGCCATGACGTGCTTGAAAGCATGCATGTCGTTCAGCCGACACTACATGAAAGGCAGCGGCCGACCTTGTGGCCGACTCTCACCAAACACAAGCTCGCCAATGTAGTTCATGATCACCACCTACCGTACCGTCACCATGGCCACGACAGCCGTCACCTCCACGGGGGATCGTACCTGGGTCGGGTACAGCTTCGCGCATGCCCTGGGGTTCGTCTCGTCCTTCCCGCCCCTGTCGCTCTGCGGAATGCTCAGGCATTTCCCGTCCGTGTCGAAGCGCCAGGCGTGGTAAGCGCACCTAGCATAGCATATCATGAACAAACGGGGAAAACGTAGTCGTATTCTATGCACCTCAATCTTGCGTACAAATACCCATTCGACTGCCGCGGTCACTTTTAATCTCTTCGGTGCTGCCCCACTGGAGAGGCGATAGCCCTACTACAGCCATCCTGGGTAAAATGTGCGCCATGCGCTCGTTTCGCGTACAACAACGTAGTATAGAGCGCGTCCACAAAATTCAGAACCTCTTGGTTCGGGCAACCCCCGCGGCTTGTTTCCTCCGTGTGACACCAGCCGAGTATACGTAGATTTAGCTTGTGGATGGAGTCCAACCTCCTAGAGGTCATTTTAACAATAAACCCTCAAGAGATCATCTACCAAGTTCTTCAGCGGTGGCGCGTCCTGTAGCATCCAAGACTTCGTATCTAATTAGCATCACAAGGCTCGTAGTGCTGGCTGCCAGTTTCATTGCCATGCGGGAAACGGATAAAATGAACCACGCCAAGCTGGTAGGATTCTATCGTAGTACGAGCAAAACATGGCAATGATTCCCAATCAGCAACACCTGTGAAAGAACGCAATCACGCGGTGAGCGACATACTCACAAGAGGCTGCCGTCCTTCTCCACCCTGCCCTCCGATAGTGGTGCCGCCCTGTGCGGGCAGCGGTCGTCGAACGCCGACCAGCGCCCTTCGGTGTTCCTCCACACTACTAGGTCCTTCCCCAGCAGCTGGAACGAAAGCGGTTGAAAATGAAAACGGCGTCAGGGCTCACCAACGTGGCATGGTGGTGGACACAGTCTAGACAAACGTGATGCAGCAACGGGAGCATGCGAATAGCGGCGCCCCCTGAACCACCAGCACCGACGATGTAGATGATCAGATCGCACACATGTATCAAACAGAGGTATCTGCTGTAGGTGATCACCTTTACCTTCGTCGTTCACAGCGAGTGGTTAGTACAATGTAAAGAACATAACACAACTAACAGGACAGTGTGCAAAAATAAAGCAAGTCCAAGGGGTGGTAATGCAAGGCCATGCGAGTCAAGGTAGAAGGGAAAGCACCTTGAAAAGCGAGAATATCAAGGTAGAAACAGAGGTGTCGAGGAACGGTACTGATCCAGTCAAATTGTATCTTTCTCTCTCGTTCCTATCTCCACGGACGGTATCGTCGTCCTGTAGCATGAATTGGTGCGTTCTACCGCGGGTTTTGAGAGTTAATATACTTGATCCAAGCGCGTACGGGTTGCAAGTAGGACAAAGGGCGAACCGTAGAACGGTCGTTGCGCTGAGAAATGAATGTTTTCTGAGTCCACCACATTGGTACGCCAGCTGTGGGGATGGAGGCTGCCAAGGGCTTGAGTACGACGACGTGTACGAGATCTTGAGAGCCGCAGGCCCTAGCTGGGCGTCGCATGCAGGATAGGAAGAACAACGACCAATCGACGAAAACCACAGGTCGACAACAGCAGAGATCGATGCAAAAAATTCACCGGACCATACGACGATGCGTAGCCTGCACCCTACCGTAAGCGCACTTGCATGTCATCGCCAAACCCTGGCCCAAGTCGGCCAATCTCTGAAACTGTACGTTTTCTTATGCGGGTGGTCATGTACGGCGTTGATGCACTTGTCCATGTTGGTGATGCTGGCAATAGAGAGTTCCTCACTGCCGGATACATGCCGAGCACGTGTTTGTGCAAGACGAGACACACAAGGCGCGGGTCTCAAATGAGGTGAACCGCAGGCTGGACAACACTTTCGGTACTATACAAAATAACTTGTTTCCATTTTCACCTGCACGGCGTGCGCTTTCCCTGGGTCCGAATCCTTCTCCGACAGCACGGGATACCACTTCACCATGCGGACATACGAGGAGGCAACGAAAAGCAAGGTAATGGTGAATGACACTGGTACATAACGAAAAAAAATAAAAACACACTGCTGGAAAACCGTAGCCACCAGACACCGATCTCGCGTACCCACCTCCTAGACTATGTAGTTGGGAGCAACAGTGCTGCACGCCGAAAAACTTGGGTCCCGGGGGGACTGCCGAAGGGTAACGTAGCACCGGCATACCGGCATCTACGAAATTGTGCGAAAATAATGGACCTGTTTCACCAGGCTACGGCAAACTGCAGTAGAGCTGAAAAACCGATCGAAGAGTTAGAATTCTACAAGAAGATCCCTGGGGGCAAGGGACCTGACACCAGCAACATACACAGCAGTCTCTCACGTGAGGGTTTGCGCTCCCTCCCCTCCCCTTGGAACATGAAAAACCCAGCTTCAACTCGACCACTCGTCAAGACTGTAGACAACCCAACAACACCATAGAGAAGAAGCGCTCGTATGACACTTTGTCTGTTTCTCATTTGTTGAATACACTGATGCATGGAATGACAAGAGAGACAGAAAAAGATTATGGGTCCTAACTCCACACATACCGCCCCCCCCCCACGACGATCACGGGGGGACAGGTAAACGTCACGCGTCACGCATACCGAATACACACCGATTGTCCACAGAAGCGAATGTCCTCCATGGAAATTGGATCTATAAAGTCGGTGCTTGATGCCATGTACACACTCCACACACAACACCTGCTTGTGCCAGTCAAAGCTCTCCTCGTTAGCTTTGGACTCCCGAGATGACACTGCGGGAGCTGTCTCCGAAGATGTCTTGACGGCGGACAGGTTCGACGTGCTGCTGGTGCTGGTTTTGCCGCAGGCCGTCGGTGGCAGGCGGACGAGACTGAATCCCTCCGCTAGGCTGATCGCACCGATAAGGAGCACGACGGTCCTTCTAGGTGCAGGATGGCGCATCTTTCTATAACGCCAAGAAAGCTACATTGTAGCGACATCCCAACGCCAAAGCACACAGGGCGGCGGTTTGAACAAGAACAACAGGGTGTCACAGCAACATTACGGGGTTGCTGTAACTTGAATTTGAACTCTCAGCGGGGAGCCTGTGCGACCACAGCAGTAGTAGAGTGCAAAAAATACAATTCGAGCGGTGCCTTTTCACACGCAAGGCCTGCCCCCCCCCCGGGATTCTATCGAGACCTTTCAATGAGCAGGGGGGGGGGGGT